ATAACGAAATTCCCATTTATGAACCAAATGAGCGTAAAGCGTTGAACTTCTTGATTTGTTGATTTTCAGCCATCGGTCAAAGTGAATTGTATTGTATTGATATTATACTTTAATTTAAAAATATACACAAATAATCATTTTTTTTTTTTTTTTTTAATAAACAAGTTTAACTCTCGATGTGGAAAAATAGATACAAAATAATTATTCAATATATTTGTGTTAATTATTAATCATCTTAAACTGAAACCTGCATTTCATAGTCAGCTTCAATATACATTTTTTTGAACAATACTAAGATAAAGCCCCAAACAAACAATCAAAAAAAAAAAAACTTAAACATAAACATGATTATTAATGATTATGAAGAAGTTTCCATAAGTACCGTATCCATTATTAATTAATATGCACTTAAATATGACACAAATAAAAATATCAAGTATTCAAAGTAATTAATTTCTATAAAGAAAGAATTTCACAGTAAAATGCATCATAGGTCATTGCATTACTTACTAAATTCAAATGACAAGAATAAAGAATTTACCTTTTAAAGTTCCGTATTCATCCTAATCATATGAACTCATTCATAAGCCTTTTCAAAACAAATCAGTTGTACATCGGAACTTTAAGCAATTTCTCATGCTAGACTACTTCATAATCAGATTTATTTAGTCGCGAACGACATCACCATATAAAACCATGTCTCGACCGCCAGATTTTGAGGTAGAGTTACACGAGTTACACAATGCTCATCATTTGATATGTACTATTTCATTTATATGCTAGAATATTTGCACTGCATGAATATCAGGATATGAACCATTTTTGTTTTTCCCAATTTTTTCAATATATATACTTTTTTTCTCATGGGTACATAACGTGCATTTGAATTGTCCCTAATTAATCATTATCCGCAGTTAAGCTTGTGAAATGTAAAAAAAAAAAAAAAAAAATTAACGAGTCAGTAATTAAACGTGCAATTGATAATTTTATTGACCAAATAAAATTCGGATGATCTGCGAAACTCGATTTTGATCAACTTTTTGATAAAGAATTCTATTCAAATGTTGCAAGATAGAATTTTACAATCCATAATAGGTGAAACATTTTAAAATCCTTTAATGGATTAACCATTTATTTTTTAAAAAAAATTATGCTACATGCTTAATGTTAGAAATATCATTTAAATTTTTTGATTTTTTATTCTTCGCGAACATGAGATGCATTGCGCAGCAAATATGTGGCTGAAATTATATTCACTGCAATCGTTAACATTTCTGTTATCGATATTAGATGTTTGAACAGACGTTGAACCCTTTGGAATTGATGGACCATCCTTTACAAATTTAGACTTTAAAGACTCGGCTTACTTTAAAGCAAACTACAGAATTCAGAATAGTGAAAAGGATTTACGAAGAATAACAATACGAACCAATCATACTTGAGTAATAGATAAAATATCTTCCGAGTCTATGATATTTCCTTTTATGACAATTCCCAAAACAAATAATAAAGTAAAATAAAATTGAGATGGTTTCGCATAGAAGCATGATTGGAATGAAAATACCGCTAATCAATGAAATCTGAAACCCAAATAAAAGACCTTTTATGAATAATACTCAGGAGAAACCCAAACAATAAAAATAAAATAAAATAAAATTAATCAATGAAATCTTAAACCTAAATAAAAAAATCAAGTTTTTAAATATTTGACCTTTTATGAACAATACTCCCCCAAATACATTAAAATACAATTATTATTCGCATAGGAGCATGATCGGAATGATAACACCGTTAACCGCTAATCAATGAAATCTTGAACCCAAATAAAAGAATCAAGTTTTCAAATGTATGAAAAAAAAAAAAATTCTCACGAATAAAATAAGGATTGCATTATAAGAATAAAGAATCTACCCCTTTAATGTTTCGTAATTATGAATTGCATTCTATAAAGTTCTAAAACAAACCAGTTGTGCGTCGGAACTTGTATATTTGACTATTAAATTAGTCACGGCCTACGTAAGAAGATCAGAGTTTGTTACACTATTTTTATTAATTACACCACATTTTTTGAATGAAAAAGGTTTTTAATTCAATAACAACGATTATGTATTACAATCATAACAATCTTTTTTTTTTTTCCCAAAGCTTTTTTTCAATGCATTCTTTTTTTTTTTTATCGTCTCATAACAAAATTTGTCTCTAAATTGTTATCCGCACGCAAGCTCATGAATTTATATCTATAAGGTCTAGAATTCATTTCATTAGTATCGTTTATGAAGATATATTTTTTTTTTCGGATTAAATGCGGTTATGGATACCAAGAAAAATTTCTTTTGTTTCCATTTTGAGATCATTAAAAAAGTCGGGTAATCGGTACGACATATACAAACAAAAAAAAAAATTTTTTTTTTTTTTTTTTTTTTTTTATGTAAATAATTGAAAATTATATACTGTATATAAAATAAATTGAAATTAGAATTGAAATAAAAAAAAAATTAATATACAATTCATCAATTTTTGTAAAATCTAAATTTGGAATTATTATTTTTCATTTGACAATGCAAAATCAACTCTTATAAAAGACGCGAAAAAATTCTTTGAACCATAACCCTTCTACAAAATACACTTTGAACTCTTTACTCTCTTAAAAAGAAAAAAAAATACATTAAGATGTCTAATAATAATGAAGTACCGACTGAGGCGTTTAAGTTTTTTCTTAGACTTGCAGAAAGTGGGAACGCAGTGGCCCAATACGTCATAGCTATATGTTATCAACGAGGAAAAGGAATCGATATAAACTATAACAAGGCGTTTAAATGGTTCTATAATTCTGCAAGAAGAGGATTTATTAACGCACAATATTCATTGGCCCAGTGCTACATATTCGGGAAGGGAACTCACAGGGATGAACACAAAGCGTTTCTATGGTACAAGGTCTCTGCGGAAGGGGGGTTTATCGTCTCCCAATTTATAACAGCCGAATGTTACAGAAATGGCATAGGAACCAACGTAAATTTGAGAAAGGCATTCGAATGGTATCAAATTTCTGCGGAAGAAGGAGTTATTAATTCGCAATGGATGTTAGGAAATTGTTACGAATACGGTATGGGAACTCGTGTAGACAAAGAAGAAGCGGTGGATTGGTATTATACGGCCGCTCATTATGGATATGCAGAAGCCCAACATCGAATGGGCCTCCTATGCTATTTTGACAAAGACGAAGAGAGTGCGTTCGAATGGTACATGCTTGCTGCAAAGCAAGGAAACGGTGCTGCACAATTTTCGTTGGGAAATTGCTATCGGTATGGTATCGGAACAGATAAAAATGAAAAGAAGTCATTCAAATGGTACTTAAAATCCGCCGAAGGAGGATATAAGTTGGCGTTTTTACCTACGGGAGATTGTTATTTGCATGGTAAAGGTGTAAAGCAAAGCACTGACAAAGCGTGGGCGTGGTATCAAAAAGCTATCTAAAACTCATTATGATCAGTTTGGATCATTCGAATTTTTTTAATTTTTTTTTTTTTTTATTAGCTTTTTTTTTTAAAAAAAAATTTATATTATTTTGTTGTTTAAATTTTTATAATACATATATATATATATTATATATATTTTAAGTATACGTATTGTACATTTTTTATATAAGATATCCCGAATTTTAACAAATTTCTGATATATGAATAAAGTGAAAAGAATGGATTTTCTTGGAAAATTAATAATTTATTTATTAAAATGATAGTTTAACGCATGCATACTCGTTAAAGATAGTGCCAACGTGTTGTAATTTATGAACCATGAACGGTTCAGGACAATTGAAAGTACTTGTAATGAACGCTCTTATCCTGAATCCTAAAACAAATTAATTCTTAACATATACAGTGTAACTTATAATTGGTTTACACGAATCGAAGTTTTTAATTTAAACAAAATTTAATGCTTAATATTGGTGAATGTCGATACAATAAAATTTCGAAACATTATAATGATACTCTTAGGCGTAAATCTTAATCAAAAGGAAAAAAAAAAATAAAGCTTTCATTTGAGAATCCCGTTAACGAGAATTTTCGGAAGCATATTTTCTGTAACACTCGGGGAAACTATAATCCTGGAACCTTTGTAAGCTCACGTTTGCCATATAATTATCCCCATATGGTATGTTCGATTGTTAGAAAAATTAATGTTAACAATAAGTTGTATTTTTTTTTTTTATTGACATAAATAGATTGGGATCCAATAAGTTTTGATTTTCGGAACCCGATTTTCCCGGCAATTATCCCATAAATCCAAGAATTCAAGATATATATTATGAACAAGAATTGATTATTTATCAAAAAAAAAAAAAACTTAAAAATATTTATGAAGCGTTTTTGGATTTCAATCAATAGTACAAATTTTAGAAATATAAAAATTAAATTATTATCTCCAAGATTATTCACCCGGTTTGACAGATACAATTGATTTAAAAAAAGATTTATCTTGACTAGAGCAAGTAAATGAAGAATGGTTTTTTTTTTTTTTTTACTAATAAAATTTATAGCCGGTAAAATTTTATAAGATTCCGTGAAAAATCCGGTTTTCATGTTCCATTGTCGGTAAAATTTGATAAAGAATCCATTTTTTTGTCATTGAATGTCAACTAAATCACTATTATTGATTTAAAAAAATAAGGATATTTAAACTTACTAAATCATGTTTCCCTCTTCTTGAAACCTCAAACCTATTTCAAACTTACTAATCGTTATCACGAAAAACATCATGGAAAAGTTTAACCCAAAGCGAATTTTTAAAACTGATAAAAAATCTAAAGTGGAAAAACTCACCGAGAAAATCGGAGTTGGTAAGTAAATATTGACAAAGGAACAAATGATATTTCTGTAAGTGTAAAAGATCTGAACGAAATGACTTTTTTTTAATTTAGAACCGTTCGCTCTCCCAACTTACCTACAAAACGAAAATAACGCCGCTTTGATTCTTCAAGCGATAAAACAGATGAATGTCGATGACACTGCCATCTTCATTCAATGGAATCATCAAGGATTCAATGACACCACGATGCCAAATTGTCGTAATGGCGTTTATGGTCAAACACTAGACGCCATTGTCGCCTATATTGTAGGAAGTGGTGGTGTCAATTTTTACGATATGAACACCTTGTTTTTGTTTAAAGGAAACTTTGCAATTGCTAGTTGTCAATATGGTTTTCCTCATTGGTATGAGAATTTTCTTTCATTTTTTTGAGGATCGTTAAATCATGTTCTAATGATTCTTTTTGCTTAAAGGAGTCATCATCAGACGGGTATTCCGGATGTTTGTCATTCGATTTGTAGAATAAACAAATTATCGACTACTGGACGAATCGATTATGAACCCTTCGATTATCCTTTTGTGGTGTAAATCGTGTCCAATTGCCAAATATACTTACACGATATAAATCAGGACACTTAAAAATCAGTTAATTTTGGCAGACACTACAAATTAATTTTAGGGAGTTAGATAGAGAACTCGATATATGAAAATTTTAGTATGCAGAAGTAATGGCACATGATAAAGAACATAGACGGGTCTCGAATTACCACGTGATACCAATTTTCAGAAAATATTTTTTCTTTTTTTTTTTTTTTTAGAAAGGATGATTTATTTGCTGCGGTAACAATTTCATCGAATAAATAATTTACATTTGAATTTTTCTGTTGGTGCGGAAGGTACTATTTATTGACAAAAACTAAAGGCTAATAAACCTAACTAAATACAATTAAAAAAAAAAATTTGTGATTATAATGTCTAATATAATTAATAACTAACAGAGAATAATGAATTGACAAAAATTTTGTAATGTCGAGACGCATCAAAAATAAAAACCAAATACAATGGAAGTTGCGGAAGGTGTTCCTTGGAGTAAATTTTGCAATTCCTTCAACAATTCCACCTCCTCCAGAAATATCCCCAAAATTTTCAAAGAGGATCACAGTGTTCGGATCTGAACGCCGACTAATTATTCTTCAATGAAGCATGCTTCATTATCATTTTGAATTTTGAATTCTTATCCAAAGAAGCCGTTCTGAAACGGTTGACCACTTCGATAATGAAATCAGTAGGAGATTTAGTATTTAACGAAGACATTATCTTTTTTTTGTGATTAAAGAGAAAATGAAAAATTTGTTTATGAGGGTCGATTGAATTTTTAATGAAATCATTTTTTTTTTTTTTTTTTTTTAATTAGAAAAAAAAATACAAATCCTTAAATAATTGTTAAACTTTTGTTCTAAATTGTATGAAACGAGCGTAATGCGTTCAATGCATTTAATTTATCTGATTTTAAACTTTGTGTTCTTTGACATACATGAAACTCAAGTAACATTTCGTAATGTCGCATGATGAATTTCTTATTACATTTCATCAAACCGGACCAAATAAACAGAATATTATTCATTCCGATATGGAAGATGGAAGAAGATACTGTAAATAATTCTGTTACAGGATTGGAATTTGGTTCAATGTGCCATGGTTTGTTATTATTAAGATCCTATTGATAAACGATTGTTCGGCGCCGTGTGTAACACACATGTTGAACATCGTGATACAACTTCTAGTAAAACAAACTGTCAACTTTACCTTAGAAAGAATACAGGAGAAATACATTTTACCAAACTTGTTGATCATCAATGTGACAATAAAACTTTAACATTAGTACCAAAAAATTCTACGTCTTTTTCACAATCAATTTTGAATACACTATATTTATTTATTTACGATCGCTGGATTTAATTTATTTTTTTTTAAAAATTTTTATACGTCTAGATGCTAGTCAACAATATGACCTTCTGGTTAAAAAATTTCCTAATATCAAAAAAAAAATTTATACAAATTTCGAGGTGTCGAGTTCATGATAAATATGCAGCATGATGATGATCCTGATCCTGATTATATAATTATTCCACGTTTGGAGGGTCTCTTTTTGGTCAATCATGACTATAAAACAAGAACTCTAATCAAATATAAGAATCAGGCTGATTTGCAATGTTACATATTTTTTTTTTTAATATAACCTTTTTTTAGCTAATTATATAACAAAATATCACAAAAAATGATCGATAACAGAAAAACAAAAAAAAATCTTGTACTTCCCCAACAGCCTAATATAAACCTGGAAAATGCGGCTGAAGAATGAGAACGTTACTTTCTCTTTGTTTCTTTTTCTATGAGTGATCGAATAATGAGTGATCGAAAAAGTGATAATACTACTAGCGCAAGTAGCGGTAAAAGCGCAAAGCCAGGTAAATTATAATTTCCTTTGTTTGCAAAACTTTAATGTAAACACATAAAAATTAATTTTTCATGTTAAAATAACAATCATTAGGTCCATCCAATACTAAGCAAAAAGATTACTTTCGTTTGGATTGTAAACAGATTAAAATTAAACCTACATCCGGTACTTTTGATGATGACCATATGGCCGTACGTTTTCATCATTCTACTCATGAAATGAGTCTGTGGTTGAACGCTTTAAAGAATGAAGTTTTCATCCCGTACGACCAGGTATGTAACTGCGTAACCCTCATTTTGGTTGTTTATTGTAAATTTCTCAAAGGGGAACGTTTTTTTAGTTTACAGGATACAGAATTGCAGAATACAAAGAACTAGAAATCTCACTCTTACCCAACTTTAACAGAAGGGTAAATATTTTGATAGTAAATTAAATTAATCTCGATCCATCAAAACTAACCACCTTTTTATTTAATGTGTAACAAAAGTATTATCAAAACGGCGTTGAGATTAAAACAGATCCAACTAACGGTTTGTTAGAAGAAGCAACAGCATTGATTATTATACCACGACAAAATGTCAACATGTCATGTTTGATTGTAATTGACAACCTCATTGGAAAGTACAGAAACGATATATCTATACCAACCCGTACAAGGCCGGGCATCAATGTATGAGTCTTAAGTATTAATTTATTATAAATTAAAGATTCTTTTTCACTAAATGATTTGTAAAATGGTCATTATTAGGACGACCCTGACGAATCTGATGAAGAGGTATGATAAAGGTTCTTCTTTTTCGATTTCATATTTAAAAAATTTATTTATTTAGGCATAATATCTTTTACAGTATTTGGTAAAGTTTACCATGTTCGGAGAACGTGGAGGAGTTATCGTACCACTAAAAATCAGACTTGAAGATATAGTTCAGACTATTATGAAAAAATTTAAGTTCGAATTTAAATACAATTTGTTAACGTATAAAAATGGGGTGGGCGCTGTTATTGCTATTAAGGATCATGAAGATTGGAGAGTTGCTAAATGGGAATCACAATATACCGATAAAGCTTGTGTGGATCTTTATTTTACGTGAGAGAGCTTTATTAATTATAAGGTATAGCGCATTTAAAACATTTAGACTTATAAATTATTCTCATATTTATTAACACTTTGATTAACTCATCTTTCAACTTTTAAATGTAAATTATTCTAGTACCTTTAATAAAAAGAGTATGGTATGAATCGTTGTACAAATTTCTATTGAAAAAAAAAAATTTTGTCACTTATTATTACTATAGACATTTGAATTCAGAGTCGTTTTTACAGAAATATCACGAATTCGTTAAAAAATTTAATTCAAAGGACAGTTTATACTTATTGAAAATATTATTTATGCTAGATTTTCGGTTTTTTTTCCTAATATATGCTATACTGTATTTCCCCTGCGTACCCGTCACTGAACAAAAGGAGACAGCGATTTTATAGATTTAAACTTATTGTATCGTGACGCGGAAGCATCTGATATTCTGTTGTTAATAAGAGCGTTTATAACGGCTCGCGCATTTGATTTACAATGATCTTTCTATGTACAACATTCTTTAAATAAAAAAAAATATACAAATAAAACCTAGCGTCATTTAAGGCCTACATTTTTTATTGAATCATAAATATATGGTTTTTAAACGACCAATGAAATTCCAAATTTGGAAACAAAAATTTAATTAACAATATGTAATCCGTAAATTGATCATTATTTTGAAATTTCCAGACCTTTCTCGTTTGCTAAATGTAATAAACTAACAAAACATAACGGTACCGAAATATCTTTCATCTCTCTGAGAATTAGATCACAAATAATTCCTGAAAAAACTTTTAACATCGGTTCTTTTTGCTACCTTGGCGTATTTGATAAACTCGGGTTTATTTATCTCTGTCTGAATTACCAAATTATCACCAAATTCGCCCTCTAAGTCGTCATCATAATCATAATCGTTGTAAAACCATCTCCAGTAGTGTAGATAGCTAAATTTCAATTTAAAAAGTTAAAGATCTATTTTATCACTTTATGTAATAATAATAATAATAATAAAAAAAAAAAAAAAAAAAAGTCGATCAAATAATACAAAAGATAATATTGCAAAAAATCTTACTAGTTTCCTTGGATTCAAACATGTATCATGAGTAGCCAATAATGTATAAGCAACTAGCACGGCATTTCTTCTTTTTTCTCCGTTTTCACACGTAAAACGCGAAAACTAAAATGTTTCCTTGGTCATAATTCTTGACGATTTATACAGAAGGCATTAGACGGGGATGCGCTTTTTATATTCGTTTGTCAATCCGATTTTATTGGTAAAGCTTCTGAATAAATAAAAATTCTTATTAATTCCTAACAAGAATTTTTATAAAAACGACTCGAGTGTAACTACCATCATCGGAACCGGGCTCGAGCTGTGCTTTATATTGGTGTTTCGAGTTAAGCTACGAAAAAAATATAATACAATCAAAGTGTATATTTCGTACAAAAATATTAAACTCATGTATTCAAAGGAAAATTTATAAGCAAAATAATTACCATAAATTAGGTTTTAAGAATAGTTGAATTAATTGCTTTGACGAAAAATGCATATCGTCGAGAAGTAGGTGACCATGTAATACTTTCTCAGCTAACTTGGGCTCATTTATCCCAGGTGCAAAAATGATTCGCTCATCCATATCTTCTGATCCAATAAAAGTAACAGAATACGATTCCTTTTATTTCTCTCCCTTGTCTCTCCTTCAATTTTGTAATTCATCTATTTTATAAATTAAATAATAAATTTACAATATAAAAAATTTGTAACTTTAAAAATAAACAAAACAGATATTTAATTACCTTTATTTGTTCTTTTAACTTCCAACGCCCAATTACGTAAGAACGCAGAGTCAAAGTAATTATACAATTCGTTTTCTTTACTGACCATAGCCATGACAAAATCTTTCTGTCAAATCGCACATGTGGATTCATGTCGACTTCATCGAATACTCCCGAATTTATACCAGCACCTTCATCATCGTCATTTCTATCAACTCCTTTATCATCATCATACAATCAACATCTAGAATGCTATTATTCTCTTGAAAACTTAAAATCTTTCAATGAAGGACAAATATCCTTGTTGAATATTTGTTGGAGTTTTGTGAGAAACTTTTGCTATTAAGAAATAATAAATTTATTAAATTAATAAATAAAATAATCAATATTTGAAAATCCGATAATTATACACACAACGATGTTTAGTATTGCTTGGTTATCATCTTCTGAAGAAACCTTATTTTTGCCTTTTTCATACTTATCTTCAGAAGTTTTTTAAATCGAGGTTCAATTGAGAATTCTAAGTCAAACTTCTTTACGGTCAATGCATTATAATCTTTAGCCAATGTCGTAGTCTATAAATAATTCACATTAATATTTAATTTTTAACAACATCACATGTAATAATATTCTTAACCTTTTAAGAGTACGTCTTTCTGATCAACATCACCATCTCCATCGTTATCATCGTTATCATCGTTATTTCTTTGAATTATGTATATCATGTTAGTATTGATCTTAAAAACTAAAATAAAGGCATAATAAATAAAAATAATATTACTGAAGCTATTTTCCAATCCACTTAAAAGTTTTCCTGTTTCTGTTGCTACAGAATCAACGCGTGAAGTGTAAATCTTTATACATTCATCCAATATACGTGAAGCCTTTTGAAAATTTATAGAATCGCCTTCTTTCAATAGTGTCATCTCATGATTAATTTAATCTCCCAACTATTGTTAACATTAATTTTCTAATAAGAAAAAAAATTTTTTATTTTATTTAGCTTAAATTTGTAGTAAAATGAAGAGTGGATAAAAATAGAATAATTTACGTTGTCGGTTGCCATTCTTTAAATTAGAATACATTTGTTCATCTGGTATCTTTTGAATAGGGGTGACTACATTCAAAGGCTTAATCGAGTTTCTTTGACTTGAAGTTGACACGTTTTGACTACCGGAGCTAGCGACTTTAACAAGAGTGTTACAACCTACAGAAACACTTCGTGTTGAGTCTGCTAAAGATATTCTACGTGATTTGAGCTCCGAGGCATCGTCATTCAAAGGAACATTCGTTTTTTAGCATATCTCAAAATCAACTAAGAAATTTTATCAAGAAGAGTATAAATTTATATTCCACGCGTTTTTATTCGAGCATACATGGTGTATTATTTGTTTCAAAATAAGCACGCACATTCTACTTGTATTTCCCTGTAAAAATAAAAGACAATTGGAAATAAATATAAAAATAAATATGATAAATGTATTTGATATAAGTAAGATACCTTTGCACGTTCTTCCTTCTTTGTATTACCCATGATAAATACCATGTCCGCGTTTATCCAAAGTATTCTGATCAACCATTCCTAAACCTTTTTCATATAAATGTTAATTAGTATTTACAGAAATAAATTAAAGACCGTCTCTCTAAATGATACTTACAGGATATTATCGGACATACATTTCCGATAAATACTAAGTTGGAATGCTCTTTTCAATATAATTCATCAATAACATGATCATTCACAGGCTCTGCCTCTTCCGTATTCTATTTAGGAGTTCGATTATATTCTCTTCGGGAATAAATAATGACCAATATGTATTGTAAGGATAAAGATGATCAATTTGAATTTAGTATATGACACAGCATGTTGAACCGCACATAACTTGGAAAATTTTCTCCAATCTTCGAAATGTTAAAATTACGTGTTATTACGAAGAATCCGCATAATTTAGAACTTTGACGCACACTACTGCTCGGAAAACAACGTTTGGTTCTCGATTACCTTAAAAAGAATCCTCAGCGACATAGACGAAGAGTTTGATGCTCATTTAGTAGAGCAGTAATCTCAGTTGGAAACTTATAATGTCGATATTTGCTGTTAAGTTTTTTGGAGGAAGGAATGCCTGATAGTGGAAATATTCTACTCCTTTAGAATTCTTGACGTTACTAACGATCGCTGCTGAAAGTGCCGAACGTTACAAACGGTTGACCATTGTGGTTGAGCAAGTTAAACGCTTTACTGATTAATTTAAAAGATCTTCGTGTTCTGATTTTGGTAATCGGAGATTTTACCCCGCCTTTTCTATTTCTATTTACAGTTAGTTTACTTTCTCAATAAAAATTTTTTTTTTTCAGTTATTTTATTTAATAAGAAATTCTATATCTCAGCATAGAGATAGATAAAACCAAAGGTATTTACGCTTTATCTTAATAAATTGTGTTTTCATATATCATTGAATAAAAACAATTTATAATGTAGGTGAGACCTTTTTTGGTGAAACCGTTATTCTATTTGGAACTGAATATTATTCCTGGCGCCGACAATCTTCACATTGTTGGAATGCTTCGCTTTTACTGAGCTAGGCGGTGGAGATGGAAGTTGCTGATATGTATGATGATGACAACAGAGAGTTTATCATTAATGTACCGACATCATTAGCTCAAAAAATTGGATCACAAACGTAGTAGGTTTTAGAAGGCGTCATAATTCAAGAAATGTGAGTAGAACTAATTTAGTTATATCATGCGAATTTTAGGCAAATTGTGGTTAGAAATATGTTATCTTAAAACGCATTTAACTTACAGGAGTTTCTTCAACTAAAACATCAACATTACGCGATACAAAATCTTTTAACATATCTTCTGACATCGATAAGTCGTCAAAAATCGTCGTGAGTACGTAATTTATGATTATCATATTCAACATGTATATTATTCGTAATTAATTAATTTGCTATTTTAGACGATCCTTGAAAGTTGGAGATCAACTTCTTTCCGGTAATATCGTTGAAATTGAGAGGAACTAGAATTTTAGTATTATTACGTTGCATTATATTGAATATCTTTTCAATATTCATGCATCAAATGTAGCTTGATTATCTTTGCTTTCCGATATGTAAGTTCTCGATTAGCTTTGGGCGAGTATGTAAGATTACTTCAATATTATCACCTTAAATTTTCAAATTTAATTTTTTGTATTTGTTACACTAATTCTTGCCTTCTTGCCTTTCAACTTCAACTACGCGTACTGCTACATCATCAGCAACAACTATCGAATTAATATTGGTTTTAATTATTGCAAAGTCATGTGGACAGAAAAGGTACTTATGACATCAGAATTTTAAATGACTTCAAAAACTTTACTAAAAATTTATGTTTGTTTCAAATGGAAGAGATATAGTAATGTTAAAATTTACTAAAGTGTACTTATGCTCATATGGAAGAAGATTTCCCTGAAATTGTAAAGTTAATGCTGTGTATCAAACATTTGGTAATTTGGAACTTTGAAAGCGTATCGGGAACGTTTTAGTGGACAAAGGATATTTGAGCATCGATAGTTTGGAAGCTTATTGGATGGTTCGACCTTTTTTTTTTTTTTTGACCTTTAATTGAAATTTTTCTTACACAAAAAATAACATAATTTTTTAGTCCGGAGCGAAGCGAAGGACTATATATGTCTATGCAAGGTGATACGGATGTCGCGCTGTCCGCCCGCTCAAAATTTGAGTCGTTGCGTGGTTGGTCCCTTTCGTTACACTTGCTCCGAACTTAACAATGGTTTCCGAAACCATTCCCTAGTTTTAAAAGTAGACGAGGGGATATAACAGCGTTCGTTTTATGCAAATGGTATTTATACCGTTGTGCAAGATTCAGATTTAACGAAAATTTTCTTATTAGTTTCCAAAGAATTGCTCGTAAAATCTGGCTCGTTAATTTCCAGATGCAAGTAATGCTCTGACACGGGATATTTCTAATCATCACCAATTTTGTTTATTTGGAGTTATAGAACAATTTTGTCAATGAAGTAACTATTATTATATAGAGTTAATTGTCACGCAAATGATTTCTGGTCTAATCTACCAAACTCATTTTATATTTCGGAGCGAATATAAACAAGATAACTTTTTAATCTTGTAGCTTGGATGAAAGCAAGGGTCTGATACTATTCAAGCCTTGGCTAAGGCCCATGGTGATAGAACAAGTAATTACTTTTAATACAGAATTTTTTGTAGTCGAGATCGTTCCGGACTTAACAACGGTCCCCGTTCCCTAGTTATATATGCCCTTACATCAATGCAAACAATGCAAACCTAGAAATCGTTCCCTATAGCATGCAACTTGTTGATTCACGTATACTTTATGCATCATTTGCGAACGTTTGGTCAAATATAACGAAACCGATAATCAAAGGTAACATTTAGTATGAATATTTGTATCTATTATTATGATTTCTTAAAGATCTTAATTTTTTTTTTTAACTACTTGGGTGAAATTAATAAAGGATATCTTGGTCAGAATGAGGGCCAAGACCATTATTTAATCTATAAATTGATTACTCCTTAAGATTTTGTTAATTAATGATTTATCAATAATGAATAAAATTTTATTTTAAAAATTATTATAACTAGTTTAGAATGTTTCCAATACATGAAACTAGCAAAGTTGAAAAATTAAGTTCTATTATTATTAATATCTAATTACAAGTTTATTAAAAAACATAAAAAACATCTAATTTTTTTTTATTTTTTTTCTATAATTTCCATCTGTTTGTTGTTGATCTCTTCTAATAATAACGATTTGGGAACGGGTAATCCTTTTGCTTTATATTTTTTATTTAGCCATAATTTTGTTTGATAAAATATGTGCAGTCTTGCGACTGGATGTGGATGAAGAGTCTTTAGATTTATAAACGGCTCTTTTTGCATCTCATTAAAAATAATGTCCGCGGGGTCAAAGGCTAAATCCTCTGCTGAAATGATTTCTAGGCTTTGAAGATTGTTGTTGTTCTAAGAAGACCTTTTTCTGATATCTCTTCGCCTTTATAAATAAATGTATACCGAAATCGCTCCTAATCCACCTTTATTTTTTGTGCTTTTTGAGGGTTTACATTTCGGCATGTTCGAAATGTATATATTATCATCAATCCACTTTTCTGGATCAAATTTGAAGTGGTGAAAGATGGATTTGTTGTGGTTGTAGAAACCGTCTATATAGGTATATGGTTCCTCTCGGTTCATAGGATTTATTTTCACATGTGTATTGTCATTTTCTCCATCAGCAAAATGTACACCCTTGAGTAAGTTTGGATCAGCTCTAGAGTTTGCGCAAACTCTAATGGAGAAATGACTAGAAGATTCCGGTACTGTAACATAAGTCATGTATTTACTAAAAAAAAATAAAGTAAAATAAAAAGAAAGATAATAATCTTAAGATTGATGTAAAAAAAAAAAAAAAAATGATGATAAAATATGAGTTAATAACCCGTTATTACCTTTCTATTTTTAAACCATTTCTTTTACCAATAGCTTCTCGAGAATAAGATACCAACTCTGTATCCTAAAAAAAAAATAATAATAATTTAACTTCGTGTTGTTCGTGTTTTTAATACGTGATTTTTTTTAAAATATAAAACCTTACCGTTAATTCATCATCTATTGGTATTCCATATTCCAGAAGTACTTTGTTTTTAATATAAGAAAATGGTGGCCGTACTAATCACGTGATGATGATAGCGGAAAGTTGGAATTTAATCCTTAATTAAATTCAAAGATTTTTTTAAAAAAAAAATCGTCGCCCTCTAATAAGAATAAAAATTTTTTTTTTTTAAAAAAAAAAATAATAATTAGACGCCTATGTAGATTTAAAAAAATCACTTTTTTTAAAATTTTTAAAAATACCTTTATAAAATTGCTACCACCATCACAATCCAAAATTTTACCAAAAAAAAAAAAAATTTCGATCTATTATCTACCAAAATTTTAATCCGTCAAGCTTTTGACCTGAAGCCCTTTCGTTTTGTGCAATAATTGCATCACAATTTTTACTTTCCTATTTTCTAATTAAAATGATCAATTACGCGCCCAAAAATCATGAATTTCGGCAGCATCTCAGGTAAAAGGTAACGCAGGCTTCTCTATTATGTGTCAAAAGCATTTGACTAAGGGGAATGAATAATAAAACAAACAAATTTATTAGTTATAATGAAAGAAAAGCTAAGATTTATTAAAAAATAAGGGAATATTTGAAAATGAAATTACCAAGTTATAGCATTATCGGATGGTAATTATTTATGTGATTTTTTTTTTTTGTGCTTTCCAATTGAATTCCGATTCTTCAATAAAACTCACAAAATAGGACAGTTGCATTTCCTTCTATATGAACAAAATCACTGACAAGAGTTTGTTCCTCATATTTATCTTTGCGAACTAGGGCACATTACCTATCTCATCAAGATCTGTAATTCTAAGTCTTATTTGCTCATCGGCTCTTATAACTAGGTTTTATTTTTAAACAAGAAAAAATTTAAAATAAAAAAGTGAGAATGAATTTTTTTAAGACCATAAACCACACATAAATAATTATGCTAAAACCCTTCTTTAAAAAATTTACCCAAAAGCGCCAACTTGATCATCTCCTATATAGGTAGGTATGTATAATCAAAATTTTCATTAAGCATTTATGACCTTTTCTCCTCATCATTTCGGATTGTGACTTGAAAGATTCTTTACCAAGGATGAAAATTGGAATTCACAAATTTGGAATTTCGCCGTAAAATGTTGATCCGATCAAGAACGATATAATGCAAAGCCAATTGACTTTTTTAGCATAAAAGCATTTTCTTTTACTATTTATATAATTAAATCTAAATTACATAAAAGTTCTAAAATTAAAGAAATATATATCATTAAACTAAAAAAAAAAAAAAAATGAGAAATTAAAATTTATTCAACTTACTGTATTCCTCATGTCTATATCTTCCGGTCATAAATCTCCCAGCACTTGCTTGACAGCACAATCCGCATAAACTTCGTTCAAATAAGTATTATGAAGATAAGAATTTTGGTCAACAGACATCAGACCAAAATTACTAATCACGTGGTGTGAATTTGGTTTAATACGATGACGTTTATGTTTAAGTAGTCACTATCTGCCCATCCAAATTAGGAAATGTAACTACTAAAGTATTAGTAAGAAGAGGATGAAGAAACATACAATTTTATTGGTCCCAAGAACTATACTGTATATGGGCCATGGACTAGCAAATTGTCCTTCCGAGGACCCTCCGTCAAATTTTTTTTTTTAAATTTTTTTTTTTTTTTTTTTTGAAAAAAGATCAGTAATCTAAAATTACATGATCGTACAAAAATGATAACGATCTAGCTGCAAAATGCCCGATATCCTCCGCTCAATAATTGAGTCGATGCACCTCAAGTGTGGGAATTTTTTTTAACATAATATTACTTAAAACAAACTGATAAGAAAAAAAGCCACCCAATATTGATTTACAATAAGTCATAATATAAAAAATTATCGTGTACTACATACTGTAATTCCACAAATATTTTAACAAAATTTGGTCTCATGCTGATTTTCATCATCTCCCATTTTTTGTTTATTTCGAAAATTTTGAAAATAAAAAAATCATGCCAAGAAAGATAAATAGCGCGACACCGGTGAGAAGGTCACCTCGCTTTAAACGCATCGAAACCCAAGACGAAATTACAGAGGTGACTATTCAAGAAGTTTTTTTTTTTTGAAAAAGATGAAACAAGGTTTAACCGTTTTTACCTAAAAAAAAAAACGTACAAAGACTACCTCACCCGCTTCTAACACGCGTCCAAAACGGGCCCGAAACGAGGAAGAACATCATACAACAGAGGAAACGAAGAGAGAGGATAGTGAGGAGTCAAATGCTTACGAAATTGAAGCAAGCAAAGACGTCATAATAATTCCCGAGGAAATTTACATATCTGACGACACGGCAAGTGTCGATACAATTGTTGATGATGATATGTCAAAATGGGAAGTAATGAAGAAATCCCTTTTTGACATTCCTAAAGACCCGGCACCACCTTATCATACGTATGTTGAAAGGCTATTGATTAAACGTCCTTGGATGAAGAAGGAAGACATTGATTATCTTCAAAATTTATTTACTGACCCCGAATCTTTACTCGCTAAGAAACAATTGAAAGTAAGTAAGAACTTGCGTTAGAAAAATTGCAAATTTTTGTTATAAAATGAGAATTATTAAATAATAATTATTAATACATAATGCTTCTTCAATAGAACCTTTTTAATTTTGAAGTTTTCATGGGTTTTTCAATTGAACAAAAGGGTCGTCTTTTGAACCTTTTACCGAATTGCGACATGGTTCCGATCTCGGATAATGACGGAGAACCAATTGATTCGCCAAGGATTCAACTAGAACATATAAATGCAGGATTGGAACCTTATGAAGCAGGTGTATCTGGAAAGGTCAGCAAACTTGACCCCAATAAAGTTTGTCCTCGATTTGATTTTTGGACTTCGGATTCTTTTAAAGATTCTCAACGTTGGTTCCAAAAGAGCATTAAATTAGGATACAACACTTCTCTTGGAATTAGCATTCAATGGAATAGTCTTGAAAACTTTAAGGCTGTAATTCCCAAGGAATGGAAGGTGAGCAAAGTTTTATATAAAATTATGCTTTAAACTAAGGTTAATATTTTTATGCTTGCAGTGCGATGAATATGAACGAGTGTGGGGAATCGGACTTGAGGAAAAAATGGGAGAAAAACAAATCGCGGGGTAAATATATTTTAACGTAATTGCGCATTTTATAAAAGTTTTGCAATACAATAATAATATTAACTGATTTGTGATTATTAGTGATTCTGCTCAAATGTCTCTTCCTGAAATGGCCAAATCGAAGGTCATTAGACTCAATGATTTATGGAAATATAAACGACAATTTAAGAACGTTGGGGTAACAGTCTCAATGGATTTGAAGGTAATTAACAATATTTGTAATCTTTGTTTAAATTATTATTAATATTAAGAATTTTATTTAATGACTTAAATATGAATATTTATTTTTAGGTCGTCGGTATTAATCAATCAAATGGTCACTTAGATTTCATGTTAACCAAAGATGGAGAAGATAAAATCATAAAAGACGTCTATAAACCGACTCGTCTAGAAAATGAAGTTTTAGATTTTGATGGCCGTGTTGCAAAATCTTCTCGTCCTAATAGTAATGCTTTTAAAAATTTTAGAATTATAAGGTCAGAAGATTATACCCCAAGCTTGTTTGAAACAAGGAAAGAATATTGGGCGAAAATCCAGTAGTTGTTTGTTTGTTATTTTTTATTTTATGAAATTTAATATAGTGTAATGAAAATGAGGTCGTGAGATCCCGTGATATATTTCCACGTGATTGCCATAAAATTTCATGCCAAATGTGAGGGGGAATGATCGAAAGAATTCAAATCTCAATAACTTTTAAACCACAAATATTTATGATTCAAATTTAGCGTGAAAAAATCTGGGATTTATTATAATGAATAAATTATATTTTGTTTTTTATTAATCTAAAATATATATATATATATATTTATTTATTCTCTTAAAGTGTATTCTATGAATTTGACTTGAAGCTTTTGCTATAACGCTATAGGAAAGTTGAAAGAACGTGTTCCCGGTCTACTGTTAAGTTTTTGATAGATTCGGTATGTCAAGATAAACAAATACCTCTGTGTTAGGAACATTGCTTTTTCACACATAACAAAGCATTTATTGACTAACAAAAAAAAAAAAAACCACCACCTTGTTAATTCATCAAATAATTCTTATAATCATACCATACAACTGAACCGTGAGGTTACCATGAAACTTAACATTGGTCATTGGACTAAATGTGGTATCATATGAAAAATTCAATAATGATCAACGGATGTAAATTCTTTTTATTAAGTTAGGATGCACAGCGTTATTGGTTCTGTATTTTGATGAACAATATAATCTTATTAACAATGTTAAGAAGCAAACAGAATCAATATGGAAAAATTAGTACAGTCAAGCTTCTCTCTAAATGCACCCTCTTTAAATGCACACCCTCTTTAAAATGTGCAATTTTTAAATTTTTTCACTATGGTCCCAAGGAGGGTCGCATTTAGACTGTATATTGCGAAACAATTTACTTGTAAATAAGAAAAAAAATTAATTATTTTCGTAACTTTGTAATAAAAAACTAGTGGATACAAAAGTAGTGGGCATCTAAAAAAAAAAGTGGGCCCTCATAATGAATGGGAATTCAAAATCATAGCACATTCTGTCTTCATATTGCCATTTCTCAAAAAAAGTATAATATTTATCTACTTTCATAATGTTACGTACACATGATATTATATGTTTCTAAAAATAGGAAATTAAAATTTTATATCGATATTATTGTAATTTTTTAAGTTTGAATACATTAATTGAAAAATGTTGTTGATATTGTTTGTCATCAAATATATATATATATATATATATATATATCGTCTAAACTATCTAAAAAAAAAAAAAAAAAAAAAAAGAATTATAATACTAGGAATGTTTACCAATTAAAGAATGGCCACATTGAACGAATTATCAATGTAGAAACGCAATAGATAACAATAGTTTATTTGGTTATTTTAGATTTGGCGAACTTGTTAATCTTTTCATTTTGTGGTCATAATGTAGATTTGTTCGCAAAAAAAAAAAAGTATAAAATTCAGCTTGCAACTTTTCGTCAACAGCATCAAAATCAAAAATCCATATTTAAAAAGTATTCTAATACCCAAAACTTGTAAATTTCACAAATTCACGTAATTTAAACTTTCTTCAAATTTATTATCTCAAAGATCAATTTCAAACCTCTTTCTAAAAAAAAAAAAATGAAATCAACTACCATCGTCGCTAGTCCATCAACCGCTACTGCTGGAATTACAAGAAAACCAAGTATAACTGTCGTACCAGATGCTTGTTCTATCATGTAAAATTCTTTCGTTCTCATTAATTTAACCAGGGTATCAAATTTTATTGGATGATTCAGTATTGTGCCTTATCATGAATGAAACTAAATAATTGTTACACAACGATGATTTTCGCATTATTTATTTTTTGTTTCTTCTCTGTATTTATTTATTTTATTTACATATTTTGTATATTTTTTATTTTTTATTTACATATTTACATATTTATATTTTTTTTATTTTTTTATTTACATATTGGTATATTTGATATTTTAATATTTCAACTAGTAGTATAGGATCACAAAAAAAAAAAATTTTTACCGGCTGGAATTATACAGATAATGAATCTTATACCTAGTAGTAGTATTATCTATCATATTTAAATAAAATTTAATCTTCTAACGCCTTTTGATGAATTTATTTTTTTAAAAAATTGATAATATATTCGAAATCTTATAAATGAATATCTTCTACGAGTTTCAAGTAACACATTGCAAATGCATAATAAAATAATCATTTAATATATTCGTAAAAAATGTGATATATTGTCTTTATTTTTTATTTTTTATTGGAAAAATAGTCAATAATTATGTTACTCCTTTAATAAATAAGTCTAACCAGTATGAAGAGAAGAAATGTTTATTTTTTGAATATACACGAGTCAATTTCAATTTCAAAAACGATTTTCCCATAAAAAAAAAATTTTGAGACTTTGGGTAGGACAAGGGAATGATACTAACGTCCTATTCCTCTTTTTTTTTTTTTTTTTTTTTTTTTAAAAGGTTCGGTACTAATGTTTCTATTATTCCTTTTCCTCGCTAATATCGAATTTGTGTGAAGATTTGAATTTTATCAATAATATAATATCATAATATTATTATTTGCAAATAATAATCATTTTATTTTCTAGTGTTAAAATTATAATTATAAGTATTACCATTTGCTGATTTATTATCTATACCGGTATATATACGTAATGTTTAGACTTGTTCATTATTTATTGTTCGCCTTTTTTTTTTAGTTTCATATTTGAATTCGCGAGGACATGGTTCGTAATTCACTATTAAATTTATCGTTTTCGTTCAATTAAGCAAGTTAATAAAGAACAAATAATTCACAAAGCAAAATGAAATATATAAATGCTTACAATAAAATTCAAGATTTTTCCCAAAATTTTTATGGCACTTATAAGTATTCCATGTTGATAAAGCCAATATCACCCAAGAAACAATTGCTTTTTTTTTAAAAAAAAAAGAAAAAAAAAAAAAATAAGTAATTAATAATTACTAATTTCAAATATCGCTTTAAATTTTAGGTCATTACCTATACAAAAGTACACATTAAAAAAAACCGAATATCTAAAACAAAGTAATATCGTTTTACTTGAATATTGGACACAATATGAAATAGTTACACGATATAAAAATATGGCTTCTATAATATTTCCAATGTATACAATGTACAAAAGACGTGATTCACTTCGAATCTAGAAGCGTAATTGAAAAAAATCAGTACAAAATAATAAAAATGATGGATTAAGGTATATATATTTTTTTTACTTACTGCTGAAAGCATCAAAAATGAGTAACTTAACAGAAATGGAATATTAAATATCACATATATTATATCTCTGTCTCCTTTTACAAAGGAAGTTCCTAATTCTACAATTAGATTCTGTGATTGTTTCACAGTATACCTAATTGCGATATAGAAGGCCATCCATATTCCTATCATCATCAACTTTGCATGATAAAGTGGTATTTGTAAACCATATTGATAATACATTCCTAAATAATTAATAAATTTTAACAAGTAAATAAATATATGTATATGTATTTGGATGATTAATAATTAATAATAATGTAATATTTGGCTTACTTTTAATCGCTTTGTCCTTTGTATATTCATACTCATATACGTTAGGCCAAATTCTAAATATGAAATTAGGATTATTATTAGACTCATAATTAGTCAATTAAATTATCACATATTTTATTATTACCTTCTTGACCAAAGTTGATAAATAAAGATAATATAGGTTGATTGAAATAAAATTAAAAAGGTCAATAAGAAAATGGAAACAATATAATATAATTTATTATTCGAAAAATCACATTGCGGATCATCAGAACAATAATTATTTTGAGTATAACATATAGATACGCCAGTATATATTGGTAACATTTGAACATTAAATAGCACTATTCCATGAAGTATAGTTCGTTTGTTAAACTAGAATGCAATCAAAAAGTTGTGAAATATTAATTAATAACGGAATTTTGTTAATAATCGTGAAGAACTTACGGTTATTATTCCCGATATTGCTGGAAAAATTAATAGAAAAAGACATAGAAAGTTATTTGAAAATTTTTTTGTTGCAATTAGAAAGAAGAAAAGTAAAATAGAATATCCTGAAAGATGTATGATAAATGTGTTCATAAATTTTCTCTCCACAGGATCAAGTCCTTTACGATATTGTACGAATAATTTATAAACGATTTTTATCGACGACATTTTGATTTTTAGAATTATTTTTACGATTCTTGAAATTTTTACACACATTTATATATGTGATTTTTTTTGTTGTTTTTTGCTATAAAAAAAAAATATGTCTTTTTTGTACTAAGTTCTTTATTGCTGTCCTTTGTTTCATTAATTCGTTGTTTTCGTAACGTACGTATCATTTAATGACTAAATTAATTTGTTATATTTGTAACACCAAGTTAAGCCAATAATAATTATCGGGGTTGGTTTTAGACTTTATTTCAAAAGGAAGAAAGCGTGTAGAAAGACGTTAAAACAAATACTTCATTTTTTGTTTGTTTGTTGGTTTCAGTTAAAAGTTCGGTCAAATCGAGACCTACTTTTAACATATATAGCTAACTATTTTTATACATTATACGTTTTTTTAATGAAAATTGGTATGAAAAACAAGGTGTCCGATATATAAAGTAAAATACAACATCAAAATATATATATTTAACAAAATTATCAAATTATTATCATTTTAATAAAATTTCTGATTTGGCAATAAATCCTTTGAAGAGGTGTCGTTTAATGCATAAAACGCATCTAGATTAATTTGTGCAAGAAATGGTATTTACTGCGGTTCTATCCTGTAATTTTCGATCATAAACATTTGAGCGAAGTGTATGCAAAAGCTTCAAGCTTTTGGTCAATGGCGATTTATAAGTAAAACGAAAAAAAAAATTTTTTACGTTTAATGCACTACATTTATCATAGTCTTTGATCATTATTTATAAAAAACGTTTTATCAATTAAAAATAGTAAGAAAAAAAAAATAGTGATATTTTATTAATCAAAAGACAATAAATAAAATACAAAATACAAAGGAAGAGAACAAAATATGCTACATTTTAACGATGTTAGCTATCACTATTAAATATTTTTTTCTTCACCATCCCAACACTTTTAAATAAAAAACCCTTGATCAACAGCCCAGAAAATAAAATCCGCGTATATTAATTTGACACCTGGCCAAATTAAGAAATAATAAAATTCTTTGAAGCTTATTTTCGCATTTTACATGATAAGGCACAAATCTGATTCACCGTCTGGATTTTTGGTAGTTCCAATAGTAATAGTAGAAGGATTAGCGACAACGGTAGTAGTTGGATTCATTTTTTTTTTTTTTTTGAAGAGCTTTAAAAAAAAAATTTGTTCTTTGAAATTGTTCTTTTTAAGAAAGGTTTATGTACTATTGGAGTTTTAGTTTGATGCTTTCAAAGCTATCAATGATTTTAAGTTTAGAAAATTTTTCTAAAATGCGGATAATATTTCAAAGTGCTGATGAGAAGAAAAAGTAATGAAATTTCGAGAGCTTTATATATTTATTTTTTTTTGACAATCTTTTACTTATTTAAAATAAGAAAGCCATATTAATTGGGAATTGAAGGTTTCGCCCTTAATGTTTCAATAAAAAATTTGTATAATTTCCCTTTTATCGATGTTAAAAACTATAAATTCAAGTTACGCAAGTATTGTATGCTATAGACAATTCTAAAATATTTAAAACTCTTGTAGGGGTGTTTGGACTTACGTTACATGACTCGATTGACTAATATGGAAAAGATCATGCATGTGAATTTTTTTGTAACAAAAAAAGTGATTTGCCCCTATGTATGATCTTATGCGTTCGCTCCTTATATAGTAAATTAAACTTCCTTGAAAAAAAATTTTAGACGATTTGTATTGTCTTCAATATTGACATATAGATGGAGATTGATCGATATGAAATACTTTATAGCAAACCATGTTCCATATTTAGAGCATTCGTTCGCATGATTTTGTTCTTACAACCATATTAACATATTTAATAAATTCGGATCTTATTGCAACTTATTTTCTTTATTCAAAAGGATCGATGGTGAAAAAAAAAAAAAATCAATTTACTGTTTGGAAATTTTGATCCATGATTGAACATCTAAAGGATTTTCGAAATCTGAAGGAAAAGATTCTAAATTGACTTCAATAAAATTATCAATATTATTATCAATATTATGAAAACCCGCCAAATGCTTTTTAATATTGATATAAGAATAATTTGCGTAAAAACCTATCCAAACCCTACACTTATAGCATCTAAATGTATAAGAATTTTCGAAACCTCTCATCAATGCTCCTTTAACAGTTGAAATTGGATTTTGATAATATAAAAATGCTTCATCGTAAAGTTTTGGAATTAAAATTTTATAAACATAATTTTCGTCCCGTAAATATTCTTGTACCGGTGGATTGAGAAATGATGGACACCATCTTAGATATCTCAATAAGTTCATAACTGATGTTTTTTTTTCTAAATCTCTGGAATTGTTACCGATATAATAGGGAAAATTAGGATTGAAATATTGAAAAGGAGGTGGATTTCCATGAATATTGGGAGCAAAAGTAGTTTGTTGATATGACGTCAATGTTGTTGTCACGTTCGTTGCTAAAGTCCAAACCTTATCAATAATAATAATTTGTCTGCTTAACAAATCAATATTATTTGGTGAAAATTCATTCCATGGTAAACTCGTTGTTTGGAATTGTGAAACTTCTTGTTGCCTTGACGCATTTTCTTCATTCCATGAAGGAATTAATTGCATAGAATTATCGGAATTTTTGTATATGTAATAAGCTTTCAAGGATGAACTTGAGGCTTGTAAGGTATTTGATATGCCATATGATGTTGATAAATCGTGTTGTCCAGTATTCCATGGATGCATTACATCGGTTGAATTAATCATGCATTGCTTAAACTTTTCCGATCCTTCATACAAATTTGGAGTCAAGGGACTTGTTAAGCTTGAAAGATTCTCAGAGAATTGCTTATTTTGTTCAAAATTATCAAAATCGCTCGGTATTTGTAAATGATTGCCTAAAGGTTGATCGAATGATTTAGATCGTTGATGAATATTTATTTACACTTTTGACTTCGTCATTATTACGTTATAATGAAGAATGAATCTCACCTTTCTTATTTTCTTCCAAATTAACGATTGTGCGATATTCTTGAATTAATTTGGATTTGAATGCTATCCAATTTTGTCCTGTCAAAAGGCTTCTCTCACGTAAAAGCCTTTGATACGATGGACATTGGATAGCATATTTTTCCAAATATTTATTAGACTCATCATTTAGAAGTCTCATCAGGTGCCCAGCGATAGGCCCCTGCCTTTGATTACTATTCTCATCTCCAATATTGATCACGGCTTTCCTTTCTGCTGCATCTGCCATTGCACGAATTTTAAAATATGCCATGGTACGTCTAGTCTCTTCCCATTGTTTTGCAAGTAAACAACGACGAAGGTTTTCTGGGGTATTTTGATATTCCATAAGAAAAAAGAAATGAATTGACAATTGGAGCCAAATAAAATTTCACCCATTATTTAATGGAAATGGAAGTGCCTGTAAGATATCCGAAGGAATTTTTTTTTGTGACTAAACTTGATACATTTAATAAATCAAAAGTAAACATTGACGCGATTTCGTGGTAGCAAATAAATAAAATAAAAATATTTACCGATTAGAATACATTCTAAAACCAGGTCCACAAACCGCGCAAGGAAAGCCCAATAAATTTTTTCTACGTAAATCATTGTGGCGAAGTTTTATAAAAATTTTTTTTTTATTTTATTTTTTTTTTTTTTTGGATAAAGCAGATTTAATAACAATATCCTTACCGTATCTTTCTTGTTTCATTGCAAATTGATATCCTCTCTGTTGTACGAATGAGTGTGCGTTTGCGACACGTCGTTCTCAAGATAATGGCGATTTTGAGGCGCAACAAGAGATATGGGTGTTGGTGTAACCATAAAGGAAAAGATTTATGGCCAAGTAGGAAATTTTTTAAAATTTTTATATATGTTCGTTAAATGAGGATCAAACGAATTTATTATTTACATAAATAAAAAGAGCGCGATAATTAAAGCCAAATTGCTAATTCCATTTGGACGCCATCTTCTTTTTAACGAAAATATCATGATTCACTCAACTTACCTAGTTCCTGTTGTTCGTTCAAGAATTGAACTTGACGACTTCCCTGTTAATAATACCTTTGTTCGCAGAAGAAAAGTAAATGCACATTTTGAGGCTCAGATTTTGCAAATAGAGGCTTTGTTATATTGTAAATTTTTTTTTTTAATTTTTACAAAACGTATCGTTTATCGATTCAATACTACAAATTTAGGAAAAAAGATTTGTAATGATTAATTGATATCTTTCAAATAAATAAAAAAAAGGAATACAAAGAAAAGTAAAAAATCAACAATGAATGATAAATAAAGTATTATCGCTTTGTTTAATTGGACAATTGGTAGAATATTACCGGCAAATAAATCCGGCTACCACACGATATGATTGCTAAAATCTATATCTATTTTTGATGTGCCACTCGAGAACATCAGCGTGGCAGTGTCTTTATTTAACTCGAGGCAAAGTGTGGCAGTGTTAAATATACAAAATGGCGATGTTGAAAAGAAAGGGCTTTGATTTCTCTTTGAAAAAAAAACAAGAAACAACACGTCTTATGACAATTACTTTACCACGTTTATTATAGAAATCCTTTTTTCGAATGTCACACGATCCAATATTATCTCTTTTTTGATCAGGCAAGGTTGATTTATATATTTTTTTGTCACTTGATAATGATTTTCCCTGCGCAACCTTCGTGACAAATTTTTTTATCACTCCACGCCATGCCCTCCACTTCTACATTTTTACTAAGTATTCAGGGACAGAGAATTTTTTTTTAAATTCCTATTTGTCACTCGGTTATTTGTTACAAGAAGTCACGGTTAATTCTGGCCGGAAACTTTAATGCCGGCCATTTCGTGATATTTTGTAAGGTTACGCTTTGATAATGTTACTGCTATCAAGTCTTAATGGTGTGACCATATTTGATAAAATCTAATCACAAAAACTCTTTCTCAAAATTTTCAAAACCATTTTATCAACAAAAACAAATAATAAAAATTTTAACAAACTTTTATTTTAAGTATGTCTAATATTACACTCGAGACCTTTAAAGTTTCTTTAACAAAAACTTAAAAGATTTTTAAAACATGAAATCACTTATTACGCCAAACTTGAAGAAATGAGATATTGCTATTGTAGAATTTCTTTCATTTCAAACACTGGAAATTTTCTGGCTAATTCGACAACTTAACTTTGAATACGATAAAGCCTTCCCTGAAGATCTTACTTTAAGAAATAATTTTTTAAATAACAACTTTATTGAAAATATTGCAAAAATGGTTTCCTACATCATTTATGAAACAGGTACTAATGACTACAACACCAAAAACACTTAAAAGATAGTTTCTAATACTATTACCAATCTAACTACTTTTCAAATCAACAATAACATTATTTCTATCTCAAATGATAATGAATTCTCCTAAAATATAGATACTCTTGACGATGATGATATGTTAACAAATAAAACAATTTCAAGATACAACTTTCTTCACTCTTCCTTTACTATTTCTTCTTTATCTACATCAGTATTAATAAAAAATAATAACAATAATAACAACATGTCAAAAAATAATAATATAAAAAAAGACGCATTTAATAAAGTTATACAAGAAAATACACATATCACAACAATAAATAATCAGCTTAAACTATTATACACATCTATTATACAAAGCATAAAACATAAACAACAACCCTGAAGGATTAATAAATCTTATTCAAGACTATAGACACATCATTACACAACCTAAAATAAACAAATAATAAATATCTTTCAAAGAATGACTTACGTCACTCATTTAAAAATTCTTTCTAAACAAAACCTAACCATTATACAAATTACATGTTTACTTTCATACTTGCCTTTATCATAAAAGGGGATAGTTAAGAAAAGAAATAAAAAATACTGAACAATTTATTTGCCTTAAAACCTAATTTTGTAAACATTAATTAGCGTTTCTATAATGGTAATGCACAAAGATTTATCAAATTTAATAATCAAAAACTTATGCTAAAAGCAATAAATAATGTCACTATAAACATTCCAATATTCTGTTTAATTTAGACTATGATAATAATAATAGTAATAATTTTATCATGCTCCTTTTACAGACTCAAAGCGATTCTGTTAAATATTAAAGATAATCATATTTATTGTACCTTATCTTACTATAGTAATATTAATAATATTAAAAATAAATATAAAAATAGATATGAATCAACATGTGATGTCATCATTTCTTTCAAAAAATTGACCAAACTAAAACAAATGAACTTAGCATAAATACATAACATTAATGGACAAGTTTCTGATGCTAAAGATGATCCTTATAATTATTTTCAAATTTCAATTGAGTTGCAACTTAATTGCACTATAAGGAAATTTAATTGTACCATAAATTATAACTTAATTACACTATTTTTTTAATTACAGTGATTATTCTTATCTGATGCATTTATATCAATACTATGATTAAAGAACTTAAATAAAAAAACAAGTTTATGGTAAGATTTAAAGATTTTTTTTAATAAAACAACACCTGCAGAAGTATTTAAAATGCTTAAATATTTCAAAGCCAGATCATGCTATTTTCACAACAGCATCTCTTATATTACATTTTTTATTTAGAAAGAACATGACTAATGCATACAATCAACGCATTTTACATAATAGATTTGTTTTTAATAGATGACCTAAAATACTAAACAGAACTTATAATAAAGATGAGATAAAGCGTTTATCACAAATCCTCCCTTTATCAACAATAACTCCAATAATTATAAAAATAAAAGACCATTGCATACTCTAGGAAGAAATCATTTCAAAGAACCTGCTGATTATTATAATAATATTTCCAGACAAGTTAATATAGCAATACATATCAATCACATGAATCACATTTATCAACATATAACTAATAAAAATTCTGATAAAATAGCTTCAACTAATGACTCATTAATACATATCTTAAATAAACTACAAGAACTAAATTCAATTAAAGTCCATTTGGCTCAATTAAATATTCAAATTTCAACTTCTCTAATCATAATAGAATACCCGCCTAATGTTTATATAACATCCATATCAGGTGAATCAATAAACAGAAGTTTTTTTTACTAATAACTAGAATTCTAATAATTACTGTAGAGCACTAACTAAACTACCTCAAGTTTTTTATAAATTTACTTCCATATTTGCAAAATACCCAGATAGTTTAATAGGAGATACAGTCAACTCTTAGTATAGCGAACTCTTGATATAACGAATTTTTTTAAACAAATATAATAAAAATACTTTTGTTATAGTGAATTGGTCAATCAAATCTCTTAAAATCTTCAATATAGCCTTATAGCGAAGTTGAGGTCTAGGACATAGAATTCGTTATAACAAGAGTTGACTGTATTTTGTATAGAGAGTGGTATCTTATACAGATCAAATATACTATATTGATCACAGTATAAAATAAAAATTTATAACGCATTTACTTTGTGTTGCTTGGCATTTATAGTTAGAACTCTTAATAATAGTTGTTAAAGGAAATAAAAGAACTTCTTGTTCTAGAATAACTCTTAAAAAAAATGACAATAGTGTATTTGTAAAAAGCTAATGGTTTTACATTTTTTGAATTGGTCTGGTAATATTTATGTAACTGCAAGTTATTTTGACTTATAACCAAGTCAAGTTCATAACTGGAGACGTAAAAAAAATTAACTTAAAACTTTAACACCTTATTTATTAAAGTTGTATAGTGGTAGATACCATTTTTTTCAGCTTTAGAACAAGAGTTAGCAAAGTGGATTTTAGGTTATCACGCATAAAATTTGCCAATTACTAGAAATATGACAATAAAAAAGGCTAAAGAACTTGTACAAACTGATAATCACCAAAAAAATATCCAAATAATTTTTTCTTTAAATTTTTAAGCAAATGAATAGATTGTTTTATGGTTCGTCATGATCTTGCAAATAGATAAAGAATAACAGTATCTCAACATTTATCAGAAGATTTAGTTCAAAGTTTTTTAAGTTTTGTTCTATATAGAAGAATACAGCATAATTATCCACTAAAATTTATTGGAAACATGAATGAAATACCTGTAACTTTTGATTTACCTAATTCATATATCTTAAAAAAATGCAATTCTAGTTCTATTAATATTAAAACTACAGGTCATAAAAGAAGCACCTTTACAGTTATTTTAGATGCTTTTCATGAATACTTAGTTGATTCTGTTAAATAAAAACTTAAAAAAAAAGAAACCAATATAGCTATAATTTCTGGTAAATTGACATTTAAATTGCAACCACTTAATGTAGCAATTAATAAAAGTTTTAAATCTTATGTAATTTTTATTTAT